GTGTGTGTGTGTGTGTGTGTGTGTGTGTGTGTGTGTGTGTGTGTGTGTGTGTGTGTGTGTGTGTGTGTGTGTTGGGGTCTTTTTCACTCCCCTGTTCCCCATTTGCCATTTGAGGTTGGGGTCCAGAGGAGGGGCAGACCATCTGGTGAGGGCCTGGGCTGCAGGTGGACTCGGGGCTTGGAGGGGTGTCGAGGACAGGGCTGGCACTCCGGCTTCCCTAGTGCTGTTTGGATTTCCAGAGTATGGCTCCTGGTTGCTGTGGTTGGCCCGCTGGCCGGGGTGGCTGCTGGAGTCTGGCGGGTGGTCGGTTGGGGGTGTGTGGGGGTGGTCGTGGGTGTGGCTTTGCTGGGACAGGGGTCTGGCCGGTCGGCCTGGTGCGGCCGGGCCTTGGCTGTCTGCTCCTCTCCACCCCAGAATGAATGGGTCTACCTCTTGGGTTTGGATGTGAGCTGCCCTCTGTAGCGGGTGGGTACATGTCCTGGACCTGGGGGTGGGGCGTGGGGGGTTATAGTGTGTATGGGGAGTGCGAGTAGAATATTGCGCCCATCTTTTATGTCTTTGAATGAGTGGGTGTGAGGATGAGGGTGGGAGTGTGTGATTGTGTCTGTGTATGCTTGGACATATGTCAGGCTGGGACTTGGGTGGCCCCCTCTTCTGATCCATCTGAAAGCCCACTACTGGTGGTGGGCTTCGCCCCCCGTGCCACGCTGCCCTCTGGTGGGGTGTGCCTTTGCCCACTGGTGCCTTTGCTGGTGACCCTCGATGTCTGGGGCTGGGTGCTGGGGCTTGTGCCGACTCGGCCCAGTGACTGCCTGGTGGTGCTTRGGTCCTCTRGCCCTGTCGGGCCTTGACATGGGGGTGGTGTGCCCTGGGGATCTGGACTTCTGTGTCCATGCCTGGATCTGCTCTGGTGTGGTGGGTGCTGACAGGGCCTGTGARCCTGTTGCTGCTGGCCTTGGKGGTTTACTGTGTGTGGTCACTGGTGGGACTCTCCTGATTCTCACTTATGGTCCACTCTGGGGGGTGGGCGTTTCTTCCAGTGCGGGTGCCCCTGAGGGCTCCGCGCTTGGGGTCCCTCTCGGGGTCTTTGGCTGTGGTCTCCCTTATGTCTACCTTGGGTCTTGGGGGTYGGGTCTGTGGTACTCCACAATCACTATAAAATATTCCATTGAAGAAATCTTGTATATACATGGATGCTCACAACCGCACACAAACAGGTGCTCTGATCCTGGGCTTTCTGATCAGTCACTGAATGAATGTGTGTGTATACAGTATATTTATATGTCTATCTGGAAGTATAGGTATATATATATGTATATTTTTCAGTAAGGTTATAATTATTATTATTATATACATATGCAGTTTGTTAATGTGTTTTTGTTTTCCTCATTTTTGCAGGTGTGCAGACAGATGTCAGATGTGTTGTCTTGTGTTTTCTTGGTGTATATTTCACATATCTTTCTATCTCTTTCAATATTTTCCATTACATTTCTCCTTTCTCTTTTCTTGCTTTTTCTTCTTTATTACATTTAAAATGTCACTGATGATGAAGAAACTAAGAAACTAATGTTCAGTTTTGTTTTCTACTGACGTGGCTATAGAAAAAAAATATATATAATGTGTAGGGGTGCAACGAAACTGAAAACTCACGATTCGGTTCGGTTCAATATTTTTGTGTCATGGTTCGATATTTTTTCAATACAAAAAAAGAGAAATTTCCATGCCCTTTATAACTTGTAATTTATTTAAAGT